ACATTGGCCTGCTCGGATATCACGCCCTCGTTGCCCCAGCCCAAATGACCGTTCACAACCGTGAGCCTTTCACAATAGCCTGTGACTCCTGCAAAGAAGAACAGGGGAGAAACAATAGCGGTCGTGGAAATGCGGTGATCAGGTTTGTTTTCAACCACAGGGCCTGCCTTCCATTCACCGCATCGGATTCTGATAGCACTGCATAATGGAATTCGGTGAATAAGGGGATGATGTCATATTATTCATGCCTTGTGAAACTCATGAATGTCGTGACCATGACCCTAATGTACTTTCCAAACGTGGCATCTTGGATTTGGCATTCAGCACTAGTCCTGCACGGTAATGTGATAGAGATGTGAGAGTACTAAATAGTGGCCAATATTGATGAAAGCAAAGTGAGCGCACTCATAACACGAGAACAATGGAACAATATTTCGAGATTTGAACGTCGTGTTCATGTGATTATCATCAGAAATCATCATCACACCGAGTTTTGGACTACAAAAGTACTACAAAAGTTTTGTAGTCCAAAAGGTTTTAAAAAGGAAATGATGCCTGCTCCATTCTGCTGAACTTGAAGTCTCTTTTGGTTTGGATGTATAATAGTTTTGAACAACTTGCCACATTACAAGTCAGTGTCCAATGCACTTACCTCCAATGCAAATAGCGTGAAAGGCACTCGGAGGACTCGGATATGGAATCCACCCCATGTTGGACACATTCCTTTTATCGGGTATGAATTCAAAACCTAGCCAGATTTTTGGATGTATAATAGTTTTGAACAACTTGCCACATTACAAGTCAGTGTCCAATGCACTTACCTCCAATGCAAATAGCGTGAAAGGCACTCGGAGGACTCGGATATGGAATCCACCCCATGTTGGACACAATCCTTTTATCCGGTATGAATTCAAATCCTAGCCATGCGTTATAGTTGTAATAGGGACTAGAAGGATTGCCTGTTGCGCACCAGCTGAGCTCAGGAGGCAATAGTTTCATGTTCTTATTGTCGCACATCGCTTTCGCGACGTCAAAAGACACCTCGGCGGTTGAAACAGCTTTGACTACGACATTTATCCCAGATGTGCCAGGAACTGTGGTATGGGTACAGACGAAGTTACCTGTAAGTGGCAGGTGTGGACAGACATGGATGAAGAAAAGAGAGCCAGATAATCCGCATGTTAGGGAATTCTTGCTCACACCAAGTTAAAGCTAACACAGCATGCCATCAAAATTACACGTCTATCCGACTGCAAGTAACAGGTGTACAGTAAATTCTGGTGCTAGCGACAACCTGCTCTTAATTTAACGACCCTTTTTCCATGCCCGGACAGTTCTACACAGACACGCGCTGCTCCGCTGCATGCAGCCAAGTGCCGCGGAGCAGCGGAGCCGCGGAGCCGCGGAGCCGCAGTGGAACCCGGCCCTAAGTGGACACCAGAGAACTACTCAACAATCAAATGGCCGCGTTTTGTCTTCACGGAAGATGGTCGTCAATAAGAGGACAGCTCTTGCCAAAACAAAACTGGCCACCTCTGCACGTCGCGGAACGTTGACTCGAGTGACTTTCAAATTTGAAAATCCCGACTAGCTGGATCTTGATGTAAAACGCCGTAGGGCCGTTTCCGTAGTTTCGGGCTAAAAAAATCTCTTTTTTCTGTACCACAGTGCTTCTTGTTACCGTAGATTCCGGTGGATAAGCCAACCCGCGTTTAAGCCCATGCTCGTGCATAAGCCCAGGCCAAGTTCGAACATCGCGGAGCTTCTTCGTACAAGCCCGTGGGCCTAGGTCGTACCATGTACATTGTAAATGTACACGCACGTTTTTTTGTGTTCCTATTGCTTCTTCCATTTACATGGCTGCGCCCGTACACCGATAATCTTGAGCTTTTGTTTTGGTGGTTCTTTCTGAATCTTCGTCGTGATGGCAGGCCCCAAGAGAAATTCTCAAACCAAGGAGGCGAAAGTAGAAGATATTTCCTGCTTTCATGGTAAGGGGCCGTCCGTAAATATCGATGAGACGATATTGGTGCGTCTGGGGGGGAGGGGGTTTGAGCCATGTGCGTCTTTTCGAGCATCAGAAAAATATCGATGTAAACATCTGAAGTTTCGCCGATCCCTGCACGCGGACGTCTAAATGGCTATACAAGAAATGTGAAACCAGCTTCCGTTCGCGGAGCTAAAACTCGCGACACAAGAACAAAATCAAAAATTGGAAGCTGTACGCCCGTGGCGAATTTCAAGAGCAAAAGAATGAGCTATTGATTGTGGAAATCGGCCGAACGATGCCTGCAGGAGACCTTTTTCAAGACGCCTACTACCACCTACTATGGGCTAATGCAGCACAAGAAGGCTGCTGGCCACAAGTGTTCTCGAGGGCGACCAAAAAAGTCATAATGCTCTCCTTCTCAATTGGATTATAAATACTGCAAACTTGCCATCTTGGGTTCATATTATTGACAAAAAAAGGAAAAAAATGAGCATCCAAAAATATTGATTCCATGATCTAGATGTACATGTGCGTCTTCTGGGGGGAGGGGGGTCAAGGGAGAGAAGCACCAATATCGTCTCTAAAAAAACATCGATATTTACGGACGGCCCCTAAGAGCAAAAAATGTGTTGGCCACTGCTAGAATTTTTCCTGTCGATTGGACGCAGGTTCATCGCTGGGTTGCCAGTCACGAAGAAATTCGAGCAGAGAAGCCAAGCAAACGAGCCAATCGATCGGGAAACGTGCTGTTTCCACTGATGGAGGAAAACTGTACGCAGAGTTTTATGCCCTGAGGAAAGAGGGTTAGAATGTGAAAATGTGGTGGATTAACACACAAGTGCAGCAGCTATTGACGGAGCTTTATTCGAGTGCTACAAATTTCAAAATCTCAGCACAATGGTTCAGATGATCTCAGCGGTGGCACAGTATCAGCCTTCCCGTTACAACACATGCTTCTCAGAAAGACCCAGCCAGCCTCAGCAACGCTCTACGTGGAGTTCACACGAACATTGTCGAGACTAGGAAATCTGGATCCTCTACATTGGCCGACATCGCTAACATGGATCAAATGCCGCCACCGTTCATCTTAGACGACCACCGAACGTATGCCCACGCCGGTGTCCAGGAGGTTTGGTGTGCCAGTGGACCGAGCGGCCTAGACACGCGCCAGTGTACAGTGCAACTGACTGCTTTCACTGGTAGTGCGTCACGAGTGCGTCTACTAGTAATTTTCCGTGGCCAGGGAAAGCGGATTGCAAAGCGGGAACAAGATGGCTGGGACAAGCGTGCACTTGTGGTGTTTCAGGAAATGCACGGTGTAATAAAGGACTGAGTGTCAAACGAAAGGGCGAATAAATTCACCAATCCATCAAGTCCAAGTTCAACAGGAAAAACCCTTCTTGCTGACCTGCATCGAGCCCCGCAGACAGATGCAGTGAAGAGCTTGCTGAGGAAGCACAATACTGCACTGGTTGCCGTGCTAGAAAGTTGCACTAGCCGAGTTCAGATACTAGATGTTTGAATATAAAGCGGGACGAGGGCAGGGAGCATTGTTGATGGCGACAGCAAGTGTGATCATGCACGAAGGGATTGTGGTACATCACACTCAGTGCAGTGATCATACACCAAGGGATTGTGGTACATCACACTCGGTGCAGTGCACAGCTGAACTCAAGTGAACGCTTGTACACTCCACTGACAGGCGTCGACCCAGGAACTGGTGCTGAGACTGGTATCAGATGAATACAACAAATAGCGAGTGTGACCTTTGCCGGTACAGTTAGACCTCGCTTATCCGGTCCTCTTTTATCCGGATCCCTCGCCATCCGGCAGAAAACCGTTCGCTACTGCTTTACAGCATATGTCATGCATACATACAGCATGTGTGTTCGATTATCCGGTTCCCTCGCCTATCTGAATATTTTCGCGGAAAAAGGATGTGTGCGGTTATGTGAGGTCTGACTGTATTTTGTGGCTACAATGCTACATGTACTGCTATTGCAAGGGCCACAAGCAAGAGTGTGACCGTACAGTCCAGCCTTGAACTGTACCGTCGGGGCGCAATGAATCCACTCCGAGAGTCGAAAGCAGTGCCGCATTTCCATTTCAATTACATTGTGCACGGTCCAAAAGTTGGCAAAAAAACGTCTGAGGGCGACAGAGGGCGCATGAGCCAGGCACTGCTTTTGGCTCACGAGTCAAATTTCTTTGGCCAAGACTGTAGTGAGTAGCATTTGCTAAAGGTTATGTTATGTTATGTTAACTTTATTTAACTTCACCATAGGTACAGAGGCATTGTGTGGATCATGAATGATGCCACAGCTCCTAGGCTATGATGAAAGAATATAATGGTACGATGGATTGATATGATCGGGGGTCGACAAAAAGTCACCCAAAGTCCAAATGGATGCATTCTAAAAGTTAGATACACTCTTTCACAGTGTAAGTTGCAACATGCGGCGGCTCTGGAAGGACAGGACGAAAACATGTCAGGTGTACCCAGGGTGGCTAATTCACACTTGCCGTGGCAAAGCATTGTCTGCGTACATGACACGAACGCCTGCACAAGCATGTGCACGCTGAGGTAGGATACTTGTGCACGGGAAGTGTGCATGAAATAGAGGAAATGAAGAAAAACGGCAACTGCATACTACGCCTTTATGTATTGAAAAACAGGCTGCGTGATCTGGTAACTCCGCTCCTGCTCCTCCTCCTCCTCCCCCCCCCCCATCACATAGACACACATGCGTACTCGTGCACAAAACGGGATATTCTATATTCTTCCAAAAATCAATTGCCCCTTCCCCCTCCCCCCCCCCCCCCACACACACACATAGACACACATGCGCACTCGCGCACAAGATGGGATATTCTATATTCTTCCAAAAATCAATTGCTCATTTCTGACTCACTTTGGCATGAAAAGTTGTGTGTATCACGCACTCCCTGGCCTTCCCATATTCCTTGCCGCTGCAACCATGGTCTGCACATCAAGTAGCCGTCAGACTCGCCAAATATGCTGAATCCAAGATCGCATTCTACGTGTGCTATTTCTTGAGCTCCTTTCTTGTATACTGTCGCTCGTCCATTGGAAATGGTTGGAACATGGCAGTAATTAGTGGCTAGAATATCTAGGAGGTTTCAGGAAGAGAAGAGGTGTTCATTAAAAAAAACTTGATGATTTTCTATTATGTAGGAATCATCACTCCAAACACTCCAGTAATGATCTCTTCACTGCGAATCAAAATTAACCAGTTTAAACTCTAGCAACATATTGTGAGACCTCGCCGATCATCATCAGGGTGAACGCTATCAATACTTCTATCTATCTGGTTTTTTTTACTCCTGGGGCATGATCGATTGGGCGAATCCCGAGCAAGTGTGCTCAGAGTGAGCGTGATCGTTTGGCCGAATCCGGAGTAGGTGTACTTGGAGTGGAATCCGACCACACCGGCCCCCACACCGGGAGTGGCTGGAGTGGAAATGGACTTTGCCGTTTTTGGACAGCTTTCACAGAATCTTTGTACGTTATGCGTACATTTTTCTTGACACTTGACTTAACAGGCAGGCGGGAAAATCGCGAGCTCCGACTGGGGGAGCAAACAATTTCCGTTTAAAATTATTGTCGAGGTCACCGCCACTAAGTTAATTCGCACTACTTGCTAGCATAGAAAGGAAAAAGGACCTAGGAACTACAAGTTGCGCTATAATGTCCACTAACACCACCAGTTACTAAACAATCAGCTCATGCGATTTTCTTTTCTATGAATTAATCCTTGGCTCTCCTTCTGAGTCCATACTTGCTAGTAGTAAGTTGGCAAGTAGCTATTATTCAATAATCTTTTAAGATGCAGTTTAGCATACATGCCGTCCACACAGCGAAGCAATAAGACACCAGAAGCGCCAGGGCTGGCTCAGTTCATGTATACCGTATTTCCTTGACCCGGTCTCTTATTTGGGCATGGTCCATTATTTGAGCACGGTCCACTATATTTTCATCGGCACATCGCTGGAAATGGTCGATTTTTTAACACGTCATAATATAGAAGTTCTACTTCCTCCGTATACAAAAACTTCGTGACTTTTTTTGAAAGCTGCGCACAGCTCAGGAATTGTTCCGTTTGACTTGGAATAACACTCGTGGCATTGTCTAACCTGTTTACAAGCTATATACAAAGAAAAAAGCAACTCAGACGAATAAGATTTAGTTTTTTCAGAGTCTTCGTCGCTCATGTCATCGTCACCTGACGGCGCTGACTCCGCATCGCCAATAGTCGCTGCTTCCGCTCGCATTTCGTTCAGATTCCTGTCACCTGCAGGGATGATCCGACGCTGGACTTTGGCTACGTCCTCTTCATCTCTAGAGGTGTGTACGAATCGGTGTCGACTATATTCAGTCGTTCCAACCCGCGACCTCCATTATGCCGTGAAACGAGTCGTACAAGCACATCCACACGCTTCGCATTTTCTCGCCAGGATAATCCTCCCAAGCATTCTACAATGGCTTCGAGGAGGTCCCTGCGATTCCCCTTGGCGACAAAGGAGACGTCTGACTGGAGAGAGGCGAAGAGAGCCAGGCCATCGACATTCTGATCCTGAGTCTGCGCTGGTTGCACGACGACTGAAATGTTTCATCTTGCCGTCCGAGCGAAACAAATCCTATGTTCTCACGCTGCGTAGATCTATGGGGCCGCGCACCGCAAGTACGAGCCTGGCCAGTGTCAGGTCAGCGAGTGCCACGTGACTCCGTGTTCCGGCCACGAGCTACACTTCGTCACTGTGTTAGTTTCGAGCAAGTAGGTGTTAGCTTTTTTTTATTTGACTCTTGAGTTTCTTTCGGCAACGTCCTCACACGCCGTGGAGAATCTGTTCGGGATCAACCAAACTAACCTCGACATGGACGTGGGTTGTCGATGACAGCCTTTGGCGCCGTTCGTTGAGCAGGTTCTTGCTCAAAAACACTGTTCAAAAAAAGTCACGAAGTTTTTGTATACGGAGGAAGTATATTATGACGTGTTAATAATCCACCATTCTCAACGATGTGCCGATGAAAATATAGTGGACCATGCTCAAATAATGAAAGAAAGCACTAGCGACTATAAAAATTGTAGTTGCGCCACCTAAAACCGCGTCCTTTTTTGATCCACCACGTGCTTTCTTAGTGCGCATGCGCAAAGCGATGAACTCAAATAAGAGACCGGGTCTCTTATTCGGGCATGGTCTACTATTTTTCCGTGAGGCCTCTAGGAGGGTCTACTATTTGAGCATGGTCTATTACTCGAGCATGGTCCATTAATCGAGGAAATACGGTATCTCCTGGTCATGTACATTAATGTATATGTGGGTTCCTATAACAGGTCGGCCCCTATAACGGGTCGGCTCCCTATAGCAGGGCGGGTTTGACCAAAAAAGGAAGTCATGCAAGTGCACACATGACGTCTTGACTGGGTCCTCTGAGTGCAAGGGGTCCATGACCTTGTATAACGGAAATGGAAGAACCGGGAAATCCTTATTGACCCCATAACCCCGGGACCCAATTTCGCACTCACAGTGAGTCACACGAAAATAGGCAACGGAAGGAACTATTGATCTTGTGAAAGAGATGAGGGATGGGTCATACCAAGACTACTTTTACTATTATACTGAAGCAAAGATGGATATGGAAGAATATGGAAGAATAGGGCTAGAGCATGATGGAGGCGGAGGGCAGTGGAATTGCAGTAGGGAAAACGTGCAGGGTGAATTCAAAGACAAAAGATCAAAATACAGAAACGTTTTGGGCAGGCCTAGATGAGTGTATACTAGTTGTGTATACTAGTAGAAGATGGAAACTATGGAAGTCTAAATGAACAACGTATCAAGAAAATTATTGAGAGATTCTTGTACGAGGGTGGCGCACTCTATTATTTATTATTATTTATATTATTATATATGTTTGCGTTATGCAGAGCTCACTGACTTGTCAGTTTGAGCACTCTGGCAAGGTACGTTCGAACCTGATTGGAAATTTTTATTTCCATTGCTATCAGGTTCGGCCTCATTTCCTCTGTGCTGCGCTGATGAGTTCAAAAAGAACGAAACAGCATGCTGTCCGCAGATTGAGTATATTATTATATATATACTTCGGACTTCCGCCATGAAAAGTACGCCGCATCGACTAAGTTGTCCAAGCACATCTGGGATCTGAAAAACGAGAACCGCGGATTCGACATCAGATGGGAGATCAAGGATAGAGCACCTTCGTACAGTAACCTCAGCAAGAAGTGTGGCCTATGCTTAACCGAAAAGTTCCACATCCTGAAAGCTTCAAAAGCTGCCTCCCTAAACAAGAGAAGTGAGCTGGTATCTAAATGCCCTCACCAGCGCAAGTTTCTGCTGGCCACCCCTATTACATAGACAGCTATGACCGCTGCGGGGTTTTTGACGCGTGATTGCAGGAGTTTGTGTGCGCTTAGATTTGTCATACGAACGCAGATGCCAGTGTATACGTGTGGACATGTGTCTATAGGTGTGTGCATATGCGTGTGTGCGTGTGTTTGTGCGTGTGCGAGTTAGGGTGTTGTGGGTGGGTGGGTGTCCTGTGTGTGCGTGCGCCCGTGTGCAAGTTAGGGTGTTGTGGGTGAGTGTATGTGTGTGTTAGTGTGTGCGTGTATGTGTGTATGTGTGTATGTGTGTGTGGGTGTTACTATGTGTGTGCGTGTTAGTATGTGTGTGTGTGTGTGTGTGTGTGTGTGTGTGTGTGTGTGTGTGTGTGTGTGTGTGTGTGTGTGGTGTGTGAGCGACATTAAGCGCGTACTTGTTAGTGCTAGACCTGCGCCTACTGCATCTGCCTCTGAAATAGCCCGTCCCTGTATACATTCACGCGATTACTCCTCTCGCTATCGTATTATCACACCTCTCTCCACTTAGATATACCAGCGCTGCCTCCTATTCCATTATCGTTGTCTGATGATTGGTTCAGCCAAGAAACTCGGAGTCACAACGGAATAAATTTGCCAAGGTTTTCATTGTGTGCCTTTGTATATATATTTGAGGATTTCCCAAAGACGTAGTCTAAATTGAAGGGAGTTCCATTATAATGGGAGGCTGTAGGGTTGAGATAGATTATTATTATTATCATTACAAGTCAAACGAGCTAAACGTTGCGCACAGGAAATGCATCTCAAGGGAGGAATTGATCAGCAAGATTGCAGAAGAACATAGTCTTGATCATCGGGGACCCGAGACGATATACGAATCCTTACGGTGTTCGTATTATCCTATCATCCGAGAGACAGTCCTGCAACTGGTGCGCCAAACACTCGAATGTGAGCACTGTGCCCGACAGAATCCTCTGCCTAAGACAGCGTTGGTACGAAGAACAATAAAGGCCACTTACTCGAACAGTCGCTGGCAAATGGACTTGAAAAAGCTCCCAGCGAGTCGAGGCTTCCAATACGTCTGTAATATTGTGGACTGTCACAGCCGATTCGCGATGGGTGGTGCCATCAGAGCCAAAACTGCGAAGGAAGTGTGCCGCGTGATCCTTTCTACGATGTACTTGTACGGACCTCCAAGAATTCTCCAAACGGCCAACGGGAAAGAATTCAACAATGGTGATTTGTCGACACTCATGGACGAGATGCGGGCACAAAAGATCAACGGCCGACCGTATCACCCACAAAGTCAAGGCCGGGTAGAGCGCTTCAACCAGACACTGGCGCAATTCCTAAGACGTGACCTGCTGGAAGATAAAAATTGGCCTGATCGTCTGCCGCTGTTTTACTACAGCTACAACAACCGCGTCCACAGAAGCCTACACGGGAAAACTCCGTACGAGGCGTATTTCCAGAGGCCGAACTTACGTAGATTCTGCACTGGACGTGTAGCGCAATGGCATTAATTTTATTGTTTAGATTACGGGAATATTCTGAAACCGGCATGCACTGCGTAGCCATAACCTTTAGTTGATCCCCTGATCTTCAGTTCTCCGTTAGTTGACCTTCTACATCTGCTTTTTGCTTATTTGAAGCACAGAGTGTGCATGACACTGTGTACTCTGAGCTAGCTAAATATTTGTGTCTATAAGGCGTACGATATGCACCTCTCGCACTGTGCACTCTGAGCTGTCCATATATGCGACTCAAACCGACCCGCTATAGGGAGAACACCCAAACCGACCCATTATAGGAACAGGCCTGCTGCTGGGTCCATCATACATTTATGAATTCCATTGTAGGATTGAGCACACAACACTGGAGGCGTTGGTGTCTTTGGCTTAGATACACACAGACCCACGGAATGGAGGAGGGTTGTTTCTTGAAAAATACATTTTTCTTCTCTGCTCATTCCCTTCTGCTACGCATATTGCACGCACATGCACGCACACATGCACGCCTTTCCTTCCTTCCTTCTTCCACTGCCATGACTGGCTATGTGGCCCCATACGGGGCAGACCAGGAGACGTGTAGTCCACCGGGCGGGGAACGCCATACTCAGCGCGCGGGCCTCGCGAGCAGCGTTACACTTGTGCCTCGCAATATCCTGTGGCCGACGAAAACTGCGCGCACAAGTGCCGCAGATGAGGGGCTTCGCCACAGGCTCCATGCGGGGGCTGGATAATAGCGTCGACAGCGTCACGGCAGGTGACCCGCCATCCCACACGCACACACGCCCCCCACAAAGACACACTAGCACGCTATCACATACATTGAAGCATTGACAGGTTTTACTGGCCGTGCACGCTCATAAAATCAGCCACCGAGTGCAAGCACGAGACTTACATTTTTGACACGTCCTCCCTTCCTTAAGGTGGTCAGCTTCACGGTATACGCCTTGGTTTATAGCGTAAGCGCTGCAAGTCCAAGCGTCCGGAATGTCATAACCGTATCCACAGTTTACCCTTGTGACACCTCCAATCTGTGGTGTGATTGTCGTGGTGGTTGTTGCAGCCCCCTTCATGGCCACATTGTCACAGTAGTATTCGATAGCTGCATGCGCAACAGGAACACATTCCTCAGTTTCAAATGATTGGGAGAACTTCAAAATTCAAAGGATCAGTCCGCGGGAAGTGAACTGCCTGAAAAGAGTAAAAAAAAGCCAGACCCACGAGGATTCGGACCCGGGACCTTGCTTGTCAGGCCAAGAGCAATTTTCTAACCATTTGAGCTATGCCGGGTTCGAGTCCTGGTGGGTCTGGTGCTTTTTTCTCTCTTTTCTGGCAGTTTACTTCCCCGACTGATCCCTTGTCATTCCAAATTCTCACTTGCGGCACATTGACGTATGTCGGAGAAAATGCATTAACCCTTTAACAGCCGTAGTATGTGTCCACTACATTGAGAATAGAGATTAAACGGTACTTAATGGGTATTGACACATTTATATTAAATTTTGGGAAGGTTCTTGTCCACCGGACACACCGTGGTCTACACCGCCACCACCTGATCCACTGCTTTCTTCCAAAGCACTCGCACACTCGCTCGCCATCACGATCACCATCAGTGTCCGGCTCAAAATCTTCATCTTGAAATTCAAGTTAGGCTTGCTCTCATCGGAGCTATTCCCGCTCTCAGGGCCACTGGAATCCGTCAGGCGAAATTACTGGTCAGTCGGCGACACGCATTTTTCACAAAAAATTGCGTTTCACCTGCTGGGAGAGTATGCGTGTACTCGAGTCTCATCCTGAGCACGTTTTTTTCTTTCTTTTTTCAGCTCCAGTATAGCTGTATTTTTCATTGCAAAGCCATCCTCGATTGTTGTGTTCGTTGTTCAAACGAAGTGGACATTCAATCATGAAGGCAGAGGACATAGGAGCCTGATTGGAGTTTCTCGTGGCATAGGACGGCCACACAGAGACACTTTGGGATTTTCTGAATATAAAATACCGTACGCACGATGCTGAGATCAATTTGTGCGATATCAAATTGTTTGTGATCTACCAAATCGAGCAGAACGGGATCCGAACACAAGCTTACCGACGGTTAGGCTGCCGACCTGATTGGACAAATGATCCCTGGCTTCACCAGACGCGAGAAGTCGGACACCATGTCCTTTGCCGCGACGTCCATCTCCAAAAAGAACTCCATCTTCGTCGTGAAAAGGCTTGAAATACTCAATATTCAACCGAGATTCGCAGTCTCACCTTTTCTCAGATCGAATCATTTTTTGTTGTAGCAGTTGCAGGGCAGATCCCCGCCACTACTTCAACAGAAGATGGCTCCAAAGCATGCCTGGAACAAGCCATATCGAGGTTGCAAGCCACCCCTCTCAGCACTTTTTTTGAAGAAATTCGAAATTTCAATGGTGGAAGATATACTATGAAGAGAATTTCAAAAAGTATGTTTCGCGGAGCGATCGCTCAACCTACGTCATTCAAACTTTGCAGGATGGTTCAGACGTACATGCTAGGCATGGAACCACAGAAGATGATATCATAGCTGACACACAGAGTCACACACACAGCAGATTCGTGTGCACAGATACTAAATTAGTGGACGTCGTCATCTTCTTCCCGCTGATCTCAAATGTACTATGACGTGCTATTTCGCCTGACGCGGTCTCTGACTCACCACACGAGCGGCTGTCCTCCTCAGATGGCAGCAGCGTAAACAACAAATCGACAGCAGAGGACGTAATCTTGAGAGGCAGTTGTTTTGTTATTTTCAGGCATGGTAAGAAGACTTGGAGAGGAGATGGAAGTGGCCCTGTGGTGTGCCTGTCGCGCTGTGAGTCCCTGAAACGGCTTCCCGTGGTCCAGACCTTTTCAACAAGCCATGGATCGAGGTACAGTGAAATAGGAATAAATCTCGTTCTGAGCAGCTGCGCGTGCAGCTTTAAACAGGTGAGCCCGGCGCGCGAACAAATGAAAAACATTCTAGCATGAAAAGGGTACCATACTGTACGTCAAAAAAACATTTGGCGCTAATATTTATTTTCGGCTATTTTCGACCTGATCATAATATTATTATTATTATTATTTTTATTAATGCGATTAATAGTATAAGTGAAGCGGACATTACAAAATGATGAATGAGAATACATGTATCTAAAATGGTTGTTCCTAATCGATTTTCTTGAGACTATCATCAGGGAAAATCGTCTCACAATAGAGGCTATACGGAGAAACAAACTACTTATAGGTTATCGGATAGTGGGAAGTATACAAGGTGAGGTGTGAAAAAAAAAATAAAGTGGGAGAGAAGACGAAAGAAATTAGGAGAAAAGATGTGAGAGTTTTCCGACGGTGTGAGCTACTACAAAAGGTGCGCTGGTAATAGCATCTACAACCGGACATGGACTGGCAGCGAGCAGTAGCGTGGGATTGTCGTTGGGTGCAGCGGACGGGATGGAAGCGGAGGAGGATGAGGAAGGTGAGAGCAGTGATGAAGAGAGTGAGTTGGACAACCAAGATGAAGATGACCGGACTGAAGGTGAGACCACAACGAAAGGGTCAGCCATTAAGAAACACCTCTTGTCTAGTAGCCAATGCCGCTCAGTGTATGATGATTCATGCTTCACTGTTTTGTGTCGTGCTCGTAGGTTTCGTGAACTTAAGGTATTAGAAGCTGTTTTCATCCGTAAACACAATCCTAATCTATGCATTCAGTAAGAAAATGTCACAAAACTGAGACTCTTCACCTAGCATTCACACACGTATTCATTCGCATACACCTACACCTCACAGTTCCTCACTCTATCACATTCACCTGCTTCCACGCCTTCATTTCACTCACCTTTTGTAGTAGCTCACACCGTCGGAAAACTCTCACATCTTTTCTTCTAATTTCTTTCGTCTTCTCTCCCACTTTATTTTTTTTTTTCACACCTCACCTTGTATACTTCCCACTATCCGATAACCTATAAGTAGTTTGTTTCTCCGTATAGCCTCTATTGTGAGACGATTTTCCCTGATGATAGTCTCAAGAAAATCGATTAGGAACAACCATTTTAGATACATGTATTCTCATTCATCATTTTGTAATGTCCGCTTCACTTATACTATTAATCGCATTAATAAAGTTGTTGTCTCCTCGTCGCCTTTTCATTATTATTATTATTATTATGTCCTGGTGGTGACAGTCAATTTTTTCTTCAGACTTTTCCCGTTTGTCTCTTTCCCTCAAACCAGTTAATATTATTATTATTATTATTATTTTGGCCGAAAATTTGTTGCAGCCGTAATTTTGTTTTTGCAAAGGTTCAGTGTGACGGTGTACACAAGCAGCAGCAGTACAGGCCACATTTGGTTCCGCCGAAATGTGTTTTAGCCCTGGAGGCCGAGAAATTTGAACGGGCCGAAAATTTGTCGACTTAGGGGCCGTCCGTAATTATCGATCTTTTTCACGAAGAGAAAAAGTTTCGTTTATGGGTGGGTGGGTTGAGGAGAGGAGAGGTTCGTTTTGAAAAAAATGATAGCTGAAACATCAATCCATTCTAGCTGTCAAATCAATATATTTTTCGTTGCAGGGGATCGGTGAGGGGGGGGGGGGAGGGTCGTAACTAAACTTTTTCCTTCCGTGAAAACGTATCAATATTGCCGGATGGCCCTTTACAGTAGTGAAATTAAGGCTAGGTAAAGTAAAACCTATTAAGGAGACCAATCGGATAAGGCGACAACCTGTCCTAGAAGACTGCTGCAACCAGGACCAAGTGTGCGAGATGTATGGGTGCCAGTTGTAATGTTGTCAAGCAGGGAGTGTGTGAGATTTACGAGTGTGATTTGATTTTTCTTTCTTTCCTCTTTCTTGAGTGTGATTGGACAGGACACTGCGCTGACATAGAATGAGTGTCGTTGTGATAACATCATTTACGAGTGCGTTGTTACGATACAGTGTTTGTTGTCCGTGTTTGTCGGATACGCCGATATAATCAGTTGCATAGATAATACTTACGTTGTTGCTTGCATTCTCGCTCTCCACAGCAACTCCACCGCGTGCTGCGTTCTATGTATTCCTATTCTGTACACTGACTCTCTCTGACAGGGTTTGCTGTCACCCTGTCTCTGGGCGCAAGCACCCTCTGACAGACCAAAC